AAATTATTCTAGATAAATGGATTCTTAAATAAATAAATTAATAAATTCAATCAGATAGATTGATAGATCATGTAATAAAAATTATTCTAGATAAATGGATTCTTAAATAAATAAATTAATAAATTCAATCAGATAGATTGATAGATCATGTAATAAAAATTATTCTGGATAAATGGATTTTTTTTTTGTCAGGTGTCGACCGGTGGGGCAAAAAAAAAAAATATTGAAAATTGGAAAGCGAGATTCTTGAAGGTGTGACAATGTACGAAAGCCGGAGAAATAAAGGTCGTGGAGTTTTCGTGGGTGTATGTATGAGGACACAGCAAGCACATCGCGATAAAGATTAAAACGACAAGTCAGAGACACTCTCCCAGGGCACGTGTACAGCTTGGAAAAATTGCGCAAGAGCCTGCACGGCAAGATCCTATTTTTTTCCTCTCATGCTAATGAGATTAGAACTCCCTTCTCATGTACCATGTGTCCAACTCGCACCGACTCCTGGACACATATTGAATACCAATTTCATTTCCTGCACTGAAGGACGTCCACTCCCACGAATTTTATCAACCAAAACGAGGGTCCAATCATAAAATCCACGAATAGCCATTCGTCTTACGCCAAGTGTTATCAGAATAACGTAGAAAGTACTGCAAAGAAAGTCATCGACATTTGAGTGAATCACATGCAGATCGAATCAGAGGTTTTACAGACGATTTTACTGACGGTCATCTCCTTTATTTATTGTTCCTTTCTTTGAAAAAAAAAAAATGATTTTTCACCCCGAAAGTCGTCCCTCGTGTCGATCCTTTTGATTTGATTTGAAAACATCTTGATCCATGAATTTTTCAAAAGTCTAGAGTTCTAATCAAACTTTTCCCCAAAAACTCAAATAATTAGAATTATCTCGAAAATTAGTATGTACGGATATACATATTCTTGATGGATTGAGGTAGAGTACATTCCTCGAATTTCCAATAAAATTATTCGACAAAGAAAATGAGAGGTAATCGAAAAATAGAAAAGTCAATGAAGTTATGAAAATTTCCTGGTACTCAGATTGAAATCCATGAGCTCCCTCGAATTGCACCAAAAACTCGAATTCTCCCAACGATTTCTCCCCTGAATTCGAAGCAATGTCACTCCCACGAGACTGACTCCCACGTCTTCCATGAAATTGAAAAAAAAAAAATCAATCCAAATCCGTGTAAATTCAATGTGAAATACCGTCAGACTATGACATCTACATCTCAGATGAACACACCTTGATAAGTAATTGTTCGCAATTATGAAGTAAAAAAAAAAAATGGAGATCGTGAGAATTGCTCTGTGCTCAACTAACGAGTTAAGGAATCAGAGGGCTGAGGAGTGTGCATGCAACTGGTGTTCGTGTTGATGATGAAGAAAAAAAATTGAAATACCCGTGCTGCAACCGGAAAAGGCGAGCATTTGGTCGCTGCACCACTTTTGTATAAAATATCAAAATAGCATCGGCCACGAAAGGAATAGTGACGATGGGACATATGCATACATCAGGGCATATACGGACTCTGCACGTGCACGAGAATTTCTGCCCTCTTTCGAGTCAGATGCTATTGGAAATTTCTTGAAAATTCCGTCACAATGTCACGCTCAATATTCAATTATACCAATTGGATTTTAAATTCCATTCATTTCATTATCGTATTTTATTCCCGTATAGCGAAGTGATGAACTAGGATTTTAAAAAATTATCTATGAACCTACAGAGAATTATTTACAATCGTATAATTTTATAATATAATGTAATTCAGAATAATTGGTTGTTTTCGTCAGAAACAAATTCTAATTAGGGTGAGTGAATTTTTTTCTCGGTCAGTTTTCAGCTAATATCTCGGAATTGAAGGAAGATAACGATTTTTTTATAAATTCCTTTTTTGCAGCTCTCATCTTTTTCTATGAAAAATGTTTATATATAAAATTCGGTATATTTATTCATTTTCAAGATATTGGCTAAAAACTGACCGAGAAAAAATGACTTTTCCTAGTTTATCACTTTGTCATTAATTTTACTCGTGTAATTTATCTCAGATAGAATTTATTAATTAACGTTATTCATAGTGCCCATGGGATATTGTTTATTTATGGAAGATTCTCTACGTTGGTGATAAAAGTAAAAAAATCTGCGACAGCAAAGAAATAAATCGAAATTGAAAATGAATAATTCGTATTAAAAACGAGCACTAAATTTCTCACTCATCTAAAAAATTTTCAATGAGTTAAAAATTCAGGGAAATTACTGCTTAAAAATTGCGAATTACTTGAATCTTAAAAAATTAATAAATTTCCTGGATTTTCCGGAATTTTCAATCATGAGCACGAAAAATTTAATTCTCTGAAATTCTCAGTATAAATAAAGAATTTAGTAATCACTCATAATTGAAATTCCACTCGAACTCACGGAATTTCAAATTCGAATGACTAATGCCGGGAATTTCAAAAAAATTCAAAAAATTCAAGAAAACAGTCTTCTGATTTTTGAACAACAGATAATGCAGAAAGTTTTCCCCCAGAAACTACGAGCGAGCTGAGAATTCCCTGTCTGACTGAGTGTCGATAAGATCGAGATTCGTCGAAGAAGATTTAAAACACCAGAAGCCACAACACCCGGACACATTTCTCGGAGAAGCCACAGGAAAGGCAGCAGAATTGTAGCAAAGTGGAAAATTAGATCAATAAATGTACTGTAACTGTACGTAGATCTGTTTGAAGTCGATGGGAGAGTCTCAACTATATTCTAGCCTCTATTCCCTGAAATTTGCCTATCCACTGCATTTTTAGCGAATCCATCAATCACCTGATAGCAAAATTTTTGCAATTTTTATTCCATGCGCATTATTACGAGTATAATTACGCCCTGAATAATACAACAATTATAATCCACCCGTACAAGTAATCACAGTAATATCGCAATTTGAAAGAGTGCATTGTTAAGCCCCTATCATTCCCCGAACTCTTCCAAAGAAAAATTGCAGAGAGGAGATATCCGCACTTGGTGTAATCCCCCCTCGATTCTCGTCATCTTTTTCTTTACAATTGTCTATGGTCCAGACTTTATGAGAACATTATACCAAAATGGCATCTGGAGGGAAAGAGCGCGTGCTCCTGTGCATTGAGCGTTTTTCTTTTGAATTTACTTCCGGTGGAAAGGGTCCAAACCGAATTACTCCACCCCTTCTGAATAGTCTTGAATAATATATATGAAGGCCGTCTGCAGAGACTTCAGGTATTTCTGTAGTATATAGATAAACGAATTATCTAGACATACATAGAAGATTACAATGAAGCACTTTTGCGATTTAAAACCCCAACTCTAGAAGAATTTCTCTATTTTTCCTGCAAAATTCAGAGACACCTGAATAAATTGAAATTTTTTCAATAACTTTCGCATTTTATTTTCCAACCCTCCCTTCTTCCCCACCACTCCCTAATTATTATGTTGTATAATAATGAATTATATTATATAATAATAAATGGTTCTAGGAATTATGCCCTCAAATGCAATCCCACGAAAAAAATGATCTTTCTAACAAAATTCTTTATAAATAAAATAAAAAATAAATGAATAAAGTTGTACGTTGGACGGCTCAATAACCACTGTCATCTCGCAGCCTCTGAACCAATTCGTCAACACAAATATTCAATTCCCCTGTCTCTTTTTCCTTGAATACTTTCGAATAATAGATTTCGCCTGATCCCCAGTTCAGAAGTAGAACCACAACTAATAATATGGTAACCAAAACAAACGGTTCAACTGAATCAGAAGTGAAAAAGAAAAACCTTAACGACAGCTCCTCTCCTAGTGCAAATAGAATAGCACTTCGTCACGCACATGAAATACGACAAAAGGAACAATAAACAAGAGCTATTGTAATGACGAAAGGACCTTTTTACAGGCTTATTGTACCCGGGTGATTAAAAATTAATGAAAAGCGAAATAATTTTGTCTTTTGGGGGATTGTGTCCGGGATAGTTTCTCCCGAATGAATAACTCTCCGGACACGGATGACAATATTCATGAGAGTGACTAAAATATTCAGGAATAATGATTTCTTGGATGTTAGAGATTGGTGCAACTTCCTCATAGTTCTATCATGGGGTTAGAGGTGTTTTCCCTCTGCAACGAGGCCTTTGAACGAGAGATGCGACGAGTACGATACGGAAGGCGAGGTGTACCGTTACGTGATTACTATTCTGCGCCAGTTACCATCGGGCCTACGTAATGTGGGTGGAAAAGCAAGAGCTTCATTCGTCCTATCTCACTTCACCAGAGTCAACTTATCTCCAGCCTAATGCCAACTATGCACCTCTTTCCCTCTTGACTGTTCGCTTGGCCGCTCCTGAATGACGACCCACTCGACCCCTTTTGCAGTGGCTCAATTCCCTCTATTTACTTTCACAACTCGCATTACTAGTATTAGTGAACAAATGAATATGGAATTCTGCCTCTTATATTCAGTAAAAATGATTATTTTAAGGAGAAGAGCAAATTCATTAGATGACTCTTCGATTTTTATGTGAATTTTTCAAATTTCGCGATCAAAGTTCATTCGCTAATGAATCGGTACTTTCAAAATCTGGATTGTTCAGTTTATTCGTATATTTTTCGAGGATAATCATATCGATAATTATCCTACTGCCCTACCTCATTAAAAATCCTATCCAACAATTTCCTGTGACGACACAAAATGTGGATTGCCATATAAATTTCCTGTCTTTAAAAATTTTCAAAAGAAGACTGATGTCTCATTTTCTGGCGCATTATCGGTAATTTGGCGCTGGTCAATGGATTTTTCGAGTTAATTTATGGCTAATGGGGGAAAATCGGGCGAAGGGACGCTTGAGATATTTTTCTACATATCCGGATTAATCGACGGATAAATTGATCGAATTGAGATCAGTTTGCAGTTGTTGTAAGAAGAAAGAAATGTTTTCCCTAGTCTTATTAAAAAATGACGACTCACCGTATTCTGATGGAATCGCTGACTCCCAGAGCGCCTCAGAGTCCCTCCTCGTATGTTAGCAGGTGCTAGCTCAACCTGTTGACCATCTGATCCCCCACGTCGTGATAGTTCTGATAATTCTGCTACTGGCTGGACCTAAACATGTTAATAACATGGAATATTAGGACCTCGAAGAAAATTCTCGGAGAAAAAACGTGAGGAGGGGGGGACAAGTGGTGAGGGTTGGACCCTTCATTCTTTCAGGATCGATTCTTGGGGGAGTTATTAAGGATTAAATTATAAACAATTTTCTCGCTTTTTAGTTTGTGGTAATCAAGGGTCAAGGGCATTCAAGTATTCTCTGCAGGTTTGATAGACACAACTTGTTTGGTCTGGCCTCATTAAATAAGAAAACTCACTGAGTTTTTTTTTTTAATATTGAAATTTCACCGAAAATCCTACAAGAACCTGAATATTCCTTTAAATAGAATTTAAAGCGCACTCTTCCTTAGTTGACTAATAAATCTTGAGTGACTCCTGAATTGACAATTCCAGGAAAATTCTCGACTCCAATTGGGTTTTATGAGGACCTTTGCTATCGCGGTAGCAGATCGCGTCATAAAAGAATTGAAAGCCTTGAAAATATTCCATTTCTGTCACGTGGTGATAAAATCGAGTGAACCCATGGGAATACTGAATGACGTTTTCATGTCTAAATTTCGTAAAGATGAAAATCTGTGGGTGAGACGAGTGAATATCCTAACAATTCTCTTGTGGACGTATTTTAGAACAATGAGTTAGTGTAGTACTACAAGCGAGTCACTGTGCAAAGGAAAAAATTAATTGCTGAATTTTCCGGCAAATTAGACCGAGCTCGATTTAACGGAAGAAAATTTATGAGACCTGCAATTTTCCCTCAGATTTCAAGACCAATCTTCATTTTAAAACAAATGAAAAACTGAAAGACTTTCAGAATTTTTTCTATAATTCAACTGAAATTGCAGTGGAATTTTCCCTCGCGTGATTTTTCAAGTGAAAAGCCCAAAAAATTAAAAACATTTGAATTTTTCAACATTTTACCCTGAATAGACTCTAGAGAACTCATTATTATTGAAGAAATTATAATTGGAATAAAATGAAATGATAATTCAAATTTTTTTGAAAGCTTTACTCTACATGTTCTCTTGAGAGCTGAGGTAAAGTGCCCATCATCTGGTTCTCGCAGAGGGGAACATTGTTTGCTACTCAAAAGGTGGAATACCTCAAGCATCATTTTTCTCAGGTACATTGGTGGCTCTATAGACGGCCACTCATTGGTTGCCCATCCATCGGACGAGTTTATGAGAGACGAGTATAAAAAGAAAGCATGCAGCAACCTATGCGTAGCGCAATGCTGATGATGCAGGCAAAATTGTACTATTTTACGATGTAAATTCTTGTGCATTTATGCAAAAACAAGAAAAAGTGTATTGCCTTGTTGACAATTCCAGTCTTTCTTGAAGTGACCTTTCCACAATAAATCCTTGAAATTCCGCAAACAATTTCAATTTTTCGGTAAAATTATCAACGAATAAACCATTTCATCACTTGAGATGGAACACCAATTACAACGCCAAATATCGATTAATTACGTAATGCGGCAGTCAATCAGTGACTGACAATTACTGTTGATTGAATCGGTAATATAGAAAAAATAGATTTAAAATTCGATATTGATGAATATATTATTGCGTTGGGTAATTTAATGAAATTTAAATGAAATAAATCGGAAATATTAATGAATTAATAATAAAACTAGTTAAAAAAATAGGAGTTTCACCTTAACTGTGACACAATTGGCAGATCCCTTGATGAGATCAATGATTTCCTCTCTGGCCTTATCGTCGACATTAATCCCATTGACCTCGATCAACCGATCTCCAGGTAACAGGCCAGTATCGTTATTATTCTGGACAATGGCCCCTGGCTCTGCAAAAGTCACTGGTTTCATCTGAGCAGAGCCATTAGGTCCTCGCTCAACGATAACAGCACGCCTCAACGAAAATCCAAAATCGTTTCTTGGAGGTGGTTGTCTGAGGATAGTGAGCTCCCGAGGCTGCTGCATCACAAGAGGAACAATACCAGGCAGTGGTAGATCAATTCCCTGATCCTCAAAGGAAGCTGAAGATCTCCACCGAGAGAATCCCTGAGACTCGCCCACAGGCGAGAGACTGAATGGTGGTGTTGCGAATGACGAATTGGTTGTATCAGTCAAGGAATCAGCAGAAGGGCTCGCACTTGTTACCATCTGCAGGAGTTTCGAGTCCTGGTGCCTGCCCTGAGGACTCCTGCGAGCATACATTGACTCTTCCTCACTGCATACCTCATCCCTCGGTAGATTTTGATATGTTATCACTTCATTCTGAAGTGTATTTCTCACCAGGAGATTACTAGCCTCAGAGTGATTGGCCTCCCCCTCACCACCATTCTGAGAGACAACAGTCCCTTCCACCACACTCGTAATACTCGTGATGCTCAGTCTTGGGCCCTTGAGAATCCCTCGTTTTGGTGGCTTTGGAGGCAGTGGTGGCAGAGTTTTTCCAGCACCAGCGAGACTCACCGACGTGAGAGACGTCTCCGAGGAGTCACTCTGGGTCAGGCCATCGGGTGTTCTCGTCCAGCTTGTACCAGCTGGATTGACCGAGTTGTCAGGCAGGTCACGATCAAGCTGAGCGAAAAATGATGCACTGTAATCAGCTGTTATTCCACTGGGGAGCTTCTCTTTCTCCTTACGACGTCCTCGAATTTTCAACGATCTCCTCATCTCATCCAGCCTCAACAATTCCTCAGTCGACATACTCCCCCTGTCCCTCTTCTTCACATCCTTCCGCTCCTTCTTCTCTCGCTTCCTCTTCTCCTTCTCCTCCTTCTCTGTTGTCTTCTTCATGAAATTGAACATTTTATCGTACGTCAATCAGCAATCCTCTCCATCAATCATGCATGAATTTTCTCATCAGGCTCTTCTTCTTCTTGTTAAAAAAAATAATAAACCCCTGGCTGTCAGAGCTCAATCGAGATTATCGATTATCGATTATCGTGGCTCAGGTAAGAGAGAGTGAATAGTGCAGGGACATGGGGAAAATCCGTGGACGGGGCGTGCCGGAAAAACTGTCAACCTAACCTCCTAGGACTTTCCATTCTCCTTTCACAGATTCGATAATCCCTCCTGTCTCTCACTAAGGATTTAACTAGTTGGTATCTGATCACTCTCGATCACTCCCAATCCTTCAATGAACCACTCAAATCACTCCAGGAGGTGGTGGAATCCCCCAAATTTTCTGGAGCAGTTGTATCATAACAAGCCGGCCTCTGCCTTCACCTCGTCAACTGAATCCAACTGACAGCCCATCACACACTAAATCCATTCCACACTGATCTCTGTACATTATTCACTATTTTTTCCACTCAACACAAAACAATTTTCTATTCTCGGGGAATTTCCACTGAGAAATTCAGATGGCACCCGTTATTCCCAGGTAAAGGCAAGGATTGGGTGAAGGTGGAAATTCTGTTGGACGTGGAAAATTTACAATTCACTATTTCCAATAACAACTCTTGAGATATGGTTTGAATTTTCGGAGGGCTGCAGCACCACTAGGAATTGACACCTCCTGGGGGCTTTACCGGAGTTTCGATTATTTGTTTAAATAGAAATAACAGGGTTGGTGATGTATTTCAATGCCCTTTGATACTGTTTCTCACGGAGCAGCGCCGAGCAACTAGGACTGACTAAAACTCACTAAACTGTCATGGCAGTGCATCGGGAAAATTGTGCATGTGTGGTATGCGCGTGCGCGGAGCGGTGCAGCGGTTTCTTTTATCGGGGGATGATAAGGAACTTGTGGTACCGTTATCACTGAGATTGTTGTTATTTTGTTTTATCGCGGGTATGTAATCGCGGTGGGTGCAGTCGTGCAGACAAGAGACAGTTCCGTTCAACGAGTTGAAGAGTGAGGACGCGTTTTTTTTTTTCGCTACCGCTTTTTATCTCGAGGTGACTCCCGGAGGAGAATAATGTACGTAAATTGCCAGTGATTGTTATAATCTATTTTTACATGACAGGGACGGTTATTGCGCGATCATTCAGGGAGCTATTATGCATTTTCATATCAATAACTCAGTGATAAATCGAGTTTTACGGGTTTTGTGAATATCGATTGATCAAGAAAATTTGTGGATTTTCAAGGAAATCGATCGAGATATTTTCTTGGAGGGGGATTTAAACAGCTTCATTTGACAGTTTTCAGGGGAATTTATAGAGTTGGGGGTAAATTGATAATGACAAGGTCAAGTTGGAGTTATCTCACTTTATTAATTCGCGACTAATGGGGATATTGATTCGTTGACGCATTTTTAGAAGGAAAATTGAAAGAATTATAATGAAAATGACGTGGCACTCAACTGGGACAAATATTGTCTCATTTTTGATTTCAGGAGCAATTTACCCGCGACATATGTCGAGGGTTTCCACGATCTGGAGGCCGTCAGGGCTATGGAGTACACATCACTCGGTAAAACTGGGCTAAAGGTCAGCAAATTATCGCTTGGGGGAGGAACTTTTGGCGGTAACTACGGGTAAGTTGAAAAAACTCGTTCGAAAATTCTGATCTGATTGTTTATATCAAAATCATGACAGTGACATCCACGCTTGGGAATTGTCATTGAATTTTTCAGATTCTAGCCTTGAAATATATAGAGAGTTTTCCTGGATTTTTGAGATATTTTCTTACTGACAATTTCATATGTTTTTTTTATTGTATCAAGACCTTTTGATGAAGCAGAAGCCATTGCTACCATCCGGGAGGCCCTTCGTCTGGGCATCAATTACATTGACACGGGCCCGTGGTACGGCCAAGGTCTCTCGGAAAGAATTATCGGAAAAGTAAATCATTTAAAATAATCATTAATTAAAGTAATTATTTATTGTGGAGGTAGTTGTAGCAGAGTTCAGTACCGGATAGAATTAAATAAAAATTTTGAGGCTTTCCCAAGTATCGATTGCTCTCGAACTATCGATTTTCGGAGGAAATCTGAAGAGAACGTATTTTTAACAATTTACTCAGCACCAAAAAAGTCCTTTAATACGTTTCCATTGAATCTATAATTATTGCTGTGAATCGCTGATTAAAATAGATGTTTGATTTCTTTAAGTAGAAAAATAAAGAAAGTTTGAGAGATTTGCTCTCAAGACCAATTGATTTTAGGCCCTTAAAGGGGTGCCGAGAGCTGCCTATTACTTAGCGACGAAAGTGGGGAGATACGAGTTGGATTTCGAAAACATGTTCGATTTCAGTATTGAGAAATCACGGAGAAGTTTTCAAGAGAGTCTGGAACGCCTTCAACTCGACTACGTCGATGTTCTACAAGTGAGAGTTGTAGGGTAATGATCCAAGGGGTCTGTAATTATGATTTTGTGTGAGACAATGATTTCCAAGTGGAATAGATTTTCAAAATGAAAGTTACTAGCCTCTTGTGATCAGTATTGGATAGAGAACTCATGTCACTCATTAATAGGTTCACGACATAGAATTCGCCCCTTCGCTCGACATCATCATCACTCAGACACTACCAGAGATATCACGTCAGGTCAGCCAGGGCAGAGCGAGATTTATCGGCATCACTGGATATCCAGTTTCCACTTTGAAGGAGTGCATTGAAAAAAGCAATATTAATATATCCATGATATTATCATATGCGAGGCATACACTTATCGATGATACTCTACTGCAGTATGTTCCATTTTTCCATGTAAGTATCATGATGAGAATCATTACGAATAATTTAATTAACCCACAAGAATTATGCAGCGGGGAAAAATGTAATTACGCACGAGTTTCTTGTTCGATTTAATCCAGTTGGACGTATGTTTTTTAATTTATATGGTTCTAGGAGCACAACATAGGAATAATAAATGCATCTGCTCCGTGCATGGGGCTTTTAACCACCAGGGGACCTCCTGATTGGCATCCAGCAAGTGATGAGACAAAAAAACAATGTCATGAGGCAGCTCAATACTGCACCGATCATGATTCAGGACTAGAGAGATTGGCAGTCTGGCATGCCCTGCAAAGTCCGGATATTGCGACTCATCTCATTGGAATGCAGAACTTGGAGCAGTTACGAACGAACTTGGATGTGGTGTACAATGGTATCACGGATAAAGAGAGAACTTTACTCAATGAGGTTTTAGAGAGGTAACTACAAATAACTTTTAGTAGTTGAACCGAAAATTTTTGGGGCTGATCCCAGTCGCATGTGTTTGTATATCGCTTTAAGACTAACAAAATCTCGCTAGATAATCATCCTTGGGTTCATTGCGCACTTGATTTTTATTATCAGCACTGAAAATCTCGGTATTTTTTCTATTTTCTATATTTAGTTCCCGAAATCGAAGACTTATTAAATGTTTCTTCTAAACTTCCCGTTCAAATATCGTCCCCCTGTTCTACAATTGCGTCAAGCCAATATTTAACGCAGGTAAAATAGTTGCAACTGGCCCATGAAATAATGAATCACTGTTGAATATTTCTGATTGAAATTAAATAGTGAGATATTCATTAAAAAATTATAAGAACGATAAAACCGAGACCAAAATAAATTGAACAGCTTCAATTCTTCAAGTGACTACGAACTTTTGTATTCTTTCGATGATTTGTCATTTATATTGAAATTCTGAATTTTCATTTGAATTGAAGCGAATTTCTCCGAAATTTTCAACAGTGTAAACACTGATTCATATTTTCCCCGCCTCCAATCAACCCCATCGTCTTGTTCTAGATATTTATCGAAGATCAAAGGTACTCACTGGGAGAATAAAGAGATAAAGGCATACAAAGCAGCGATGGGAATGTAAAAAATCTGTATTTCGTATAAAACTTGATTTCGTGTAAAAAGAAAATAAAGTTACTTTTCGATATTTAATACTACATATTCTCTCTGTGATCTCCCTATTTTCCTACCGAATTCAAATAATTTCAAAACTCGTAAATGACATTTTCCAAATTTTAATTTACACTCCTGCAAGATTCTTGGTTGCGTATTTTTTTTTTAGATTTTTCTGTGCAATAATGACGGAATTACACAGTTCATAATATATTTTTAGGATGCGTTCTACTGTAATAGTTATTCTCCTCCTTAATTTGATAAGTGAGTTCATACAAGAGATAGCTGAACATGGGTCCGATGACCTGTTTATGATACATTTGTTTGAGTTCAAAACCTTTTTTGAAGCAGAGCTCTCTACCTCCTTCAGCATACTCGGAGGTGACGAGATCTGCACAGCTGTAGCCCTCGTCAATTGCAAATTGAAGGGCGATGCTCAGTAGAAGAGATCCCACACCTTTTCGTCGATATTTTTTCTCGACGTGCAGACGTTTTATCCAGGCTCCCTTCTCCACTTTGTGGCTTTTCAACAGACCCACTGTCCCCACTATTACTCTGGCCTGAGAGGACACATCGATTTTTGAGTCACGAAATTGCTGTTCAGTCATAATTGTATAGTGGTAATCCTTTGGCTCTCTCATCATCAAATACGGCTGGAAGGCCTCGGCTACCCAAAAGCAAGAAAACGCATTGGACATGTAAATTCTATAATTGAAAAGGAAAAAAAAGGAATTAGAACAGCGGAAAGTGAAGGGGAGAATCTACTGGAAATTATTGATCATTTTAAATGGCTCAATTATTGTCTCAATGGAAAATTCATCGACATCTGTCACATTTTACTGACATTTCAATTTTTTATTTAAATCTCACCTGAAATTTATTCATAGTATTTACGAGTTCACATAAAAAAAAGAAAATTTCTGCATAAATTGCGTAAGCAGTATAAAATTTTTTAAAATCGATATTTACCGCAAAAAAAAGGATTTTCGCAAAAAATTTCAAAACAATTCGAATGACTCAATATGAATCACAAAATTACAAAGTAAAATTTATCGATTACTGAACAGAAACATTTCTAGATATTCGTATCAGTTATTTATCTGGGAAAATACATTTTTTCTGATAAAGTTGAGAATTCACCTGGGAACATTTGTTATCTCCTGATTAGTCTCGGCCGCAATCATAACGCACCCGAGGTAAGTCCCAGCGTAAGTGATAAAAATAACAATGGGAATAACGAGTAAACAAACAGTGAAAGGCATCCCGAAGAATATGAACATGATAGCAGCACAAAGAATCATCAATTGAAAAGTGACTTCCTTGAAGAGATTGGCAATGAACGCAGAATTGAAGGATGTCATGATGGCATCCTTTATCATGTCGCGACAGTATAATTCATCTCCAGGCTTGTACCCCCTAATCACGACGATGTGACTCATCTTCTGATCTATTCGTACATTTGGATATCGGAAAATTACGGACAGTATCGCTCAAACCCCTCAAAAAACTTTCTGGTGCTTGATTGTCTTACAGGTTATATTTCACCTGCACATTCTCCCGCCACTGAATTATTAAATTCAACAAGAGATCAATCCACTCTTCCCTCAATTCCTCGAAGATAATGAATAAAATGAATCCTCCCTTGTTAATTCTGTCACTTCAATTAAACTTCATTTACAATTTCAATGGCCAGGTGACAACAGTGAAATGAGTCGAACTTCACTTTTTTTCATTTATCGATTTATCTCGAAAACTATCGATTGGAAATGGAAACGCTAAAAGACTTTTTTGTAGTCAAGTAAATTTCGGATAAAAAAGATTTATTCATTTTTCCGTTTAAAATCAATAGGTTTCTAGATAAATCGATGTTTCCCTAAGCTTTCACTTTAAAAATTCGTTCATCTCATTATCAGATGAGAGTTTCAATTAAAATTGAAATTCTCCTTTCTCTTTTTAGTTTTTTTTTTCAAATATGTCATTATCAGAGTAATTAATGAAGTATTGTGAAAAAGGATAAGTCTTGTTTTTTTTTTATTTTCCATTCATCCTCAGCTCTTCAACAAAATATACACATTCCCATTAAAAATTGTTGTATTTAAATTGGCATTTTCGAATCATTTGCAACACAGTACAACCGAGTGTTCAGAGCCTATAATATTTTTTATTGCATATTGATTCTGGACACTCGTTATCTTTTGTGTCCTTGTGATAATCAGTCCCCAAATACACTCACCAAGTTCCATCATTGATGTCAAGTGTATTTACACATTTTTATTATTCTATCTACTAGATTACACCTCATTACATTGCCCCATCCAAACAAAAATATAATTTTTACCATACCTTCCCTAAATAAATTATATAAAAAATCATAATTGTGTGGAATTATTGAAGACTTACTCTCTAGTATAGCGACGTGCAGAGTTGAGAATTAATTGATGGAAATCCAAGTTTTACGATTATTTACTTTTCTTTTAACTTGAATGATATTTAAATGATAGAGTTCATTCCATCGAAATGGATAAATAAAATAGTATTATCTATTCTACTCCCGTATTTTTAGTAATAAAAGTGAATTGGTTTCGAATAATGACATGACATGGAGAATTCAATTGAAAGAAAATATTCTGTGACATGTGGATTATTCGTTTGAATATTTTTTTTTGCGGCTTATTCAATGACGTGGGGATAATACAGTCATCGCGATTTCAATTTTCAATGGGAAGTAAACCTCAACCCAGCTCTGCACACATTAATGTCCCAAGTATCATAAAACGATAATATAATAACAATATATCAAAAACCTCTCAGGTACAATGTACAAAGAAGTTGTATGAAAGAATTTCAATTTTACATTTCGAAATTTCATGAGATTCCTCCTCTGCTAAATTTTCCACTGAAGTTGCCAGTAAAAGTCCGGGAATTTCGATACACGACATTTTCGTTGAATTTTCAGTTTTTCCATTCCACAGCAAATTGTCAATTATCCACCGAAAATTAAACTTCAAATCTTGAAATTTGAAATCCCATGAGTTTTTCCCTTTTCTTGACCCTTCGAGGAACCTCTCCAGATCTAAGAGAAATAGCAAAATTTTGATGAGGACCTCTTTTGTACATTGAAATGAGCGCTGCAAAAAAATCCCTACATAAATTTCGCTATTTCTCTTAGATTCAGTGATTTTTTTCTGAATTTACCTATTATCTCGATCGATTTATAAAGTTCTATTGGAAAATTACGTGAATTTTTTTTATCAGTGCCCATGAGTCACCCCTCCACTGAAACCTATATTAATTATGCTCAACAAATGATCCTTCGTTTCTACCGATGCGTCGTGTTTTCGAGTTTCAACAAATCCAACTGACATGATTTGTTGGTGTCAATGGTGATGACCCGTCGTGAGGAGTGCAGGCAAGAATGAACCAACGACAAGAGCTACAATTTCTTTAAACCTTAGTCCAGATGCCGGGGTAGGCACCCCCTCAGCTAAAGGCAAGTGCGAGTAGGCGTTGGTGTTCCTGGTCATGAGTTCTGGGAGAACATGAACAGTCGCTACGTAGAGGAATGTTCCAGCGCTGAACAGCATGGCAAGACCCGTTGCGTTGACATTACTGAGTGTCTCTTTCCCTTCCTTAAAATTATTATTTTAATATCGTAAAACACCACGAAAAAGAAAATAGAAGGAGTGAAGTGGTCTAACTTCTCTATACATTAACAGAATATATTAATTAATCCATTTAATTCCATTGCATTTAATTAAAATTTCAGAAGATTCATTGCTTTTCTCAGTGTACTCGTCTGATAAATTCATGTAGTTTGCATTATATCTGGGTGATATCACGTGTCTTAAAGCAACAGGTAGTGTATTGGATTCAAATAAAGGAAATATTTTAATTTGTTAGAAAGGATGCGGATGGCTATAAGTGGGGATAATAATAATAAATAAGTGGGACATCGTCGGTGTTCACACCTTTCGAATGGATACTTTCTAAATTAATGAAAAAACGCAGGTTATCCATCAGTGAAGTGGTGAAAGGGAGTGTTTTGGAAAAAAAAAATATATTGCTTCACTGCTGATTGTAACGAAAAGATACGTGAACTTTTCATTAAGAAAACCTGCAATTTTCTTACCTTTCCGATACCAAAGTACGTAATGAGTGCCAGACAAGGTGCAGATAACGAAAATACCAATAAATGTCGGCTGATTCTCTTTTTATCCACCCCTTCGTGTAGTAGAAAAGATACTAATCCGAAAGCTGCCGGTGCCTGAGAGAATGGGCAAAAATAAATGTCACATCGATTGCATTTTTTGTAAATAGTGTAGTTATCGTTGATAAAAAATGTTATAAAATTATTTGAATGTTTACTTTGTGCAACATGATCGCCAGAAAGACGATGACTTCAACGTCAGCTTGGGAAGTAGTGGCAGCAGCTCCGAGAGCAACTCCATCCGCAGCAGCATGAACCACGAGTCCTAGAGTAGCTGTCATGCTTTTCTCCTTTCCCCCTGATCTCCTATTCGAGCATTGATCCACGAGGAGCATGAAAACAAAGCCCAGGACGAGGCTGATTCCAATCAAACTGTGGGGATCACCTGAAAATATCAATTATGATAACTTAACGCAGTCGTTCATAAAACATTTGACTGCCATTCCACTAAATTTATGAAATTATTAAAAAATAAATAAACATAAATATGAAATAATTAAAAAATTTACTAATTCTTCTATCGTCAAACGTACTTCTTCATTTTCTGAATTATTAATTTATCTCTAAACCCATTGATTAAATTTCAAAAACAATCTTTCGATATATCCTCCTAAAATCAATAGTCTGAAGACAAATCGATACTAAAGAAAACTGAAATTCGATTCATCTCACTTTACCACTTGGCAACTGATTTGAAAATATTTTTCACGAATATCATTGCTTTCTCCTCCGTAATGTTCACCCTGAAATAACATACTATGTTCCTCGTGAGCAGCTGGAGTAATAGTAGTAGATGCTCCACTGAAGAGAGCCCTTATTCCCTCAGGAATTATCACAGCCAGAGCAGTTCCTACGAGAAGACCAGCTCCGAGAACCGAGACTAATTGCAGCTTATCCTAAATAAAAAAAAAAATCGAATGATAAGATTAATTGTCAAATTTTCATACAACGACCAGTGGAAGGGGAAAACGAGTGAAAGGGGAAAAGTTGGGCGAACCAGATACTTCGAAGATTAAAAAAAAATCTGAATATTTTGCATATTCTTTTATTTTCATATATCGATAGAAATATTTCTATTTACATCACGAAGAAACGTGAATGTAAGTCAATAGCAAAGAAATGATTCCATTTAATCAACGATTGGATTAGAGAAGGAGAGTTGAAGATTTTATGTTTAAGGATAATCGTCCAGGTGTTCATTTTGCTCATCAGTTCCTGATATTGAGTATTAAATACCTCCGAAAGGTTCATAACCAGTGGAAGGGATCCGGCAAGGTACGATCCCACCAGCATCACCATTGACAGCATCCAAAGCACAGCAGTTTGCTCCATTTTTGATTATTCAACCTGTTGCTTGGAATAATACGTGTGGCTTCTACTAACTCAAAATTATGCAACACCTGTGTTAACAATATCATCCAGCCCAACAGGTTATCAGTTCACCACATGCTACGATCCTCAGCCACATATTTTCCCTAACCCCAACTTGACGTACTTACATACAATGTTGACACATTTTTTTGTGTTTTTTTCAGCAGCTGATTCCTCCGTTTCATGCACTCGCCACAACGAGGCGACACTAAAGCATTTATTTTTTATTGAATGGTTCTCGATATTTACGTTTTTCTTTTCTATTTCAATTTTTTCGGAAATTTAAATAATTTATGCACTGATTTTATTATTTTTTTAAATCATTATTTAGGATTTTTTTTGGTAGACAAAATAGGGCTATTGTTTTGAAAATATAAGATTCTTATTTCTTTACTTGAAAATTTGGAAAGTGTCAATGAATAAATGTTAATATGTGAGGTCTCATTTAACGGTATAAATTTGTTTCTTCCCAGAAATGATGACATAAAGTTTTAAATAAAAGCTCTCAGTGAGAGTGACGTGGAAGCAGCATGCTCCATGCAACTTACCTCCACCACGACTCCAAGGAAAATACCAACAACTAAAAATAACAGAATCCATCCTACAATAGAAATATTTGTATTTGTTTCTCGTGTTGGTGACAAATATTCAATCAACATCACCCCATGTATCTTCACTATCTATATTTAATAATAAAAGTTCTCTGTCGACGATGATTCTAATGATATCGGGAATACAAATTCACAAGCATTAAGAGTCACACCAGGCTCTCTCCCATTCATAATCTATCAATCCCTACAAAAAGTGAATAAATGCAAAGGAAAAACGTCAATGAAGTATTCAACTCCCAGGTAATCTTAAAATCGTAACGTCGAGATGTACAGTTCCAATTCTTACAATATCCACTATTAATATAATAGGCCAATGGAATAATCGGATGTCAAGCTCATTTTCAATATTTCCCCTGTCCCATTCAGCTTGTATCCGAATAAATCCTCGTATCGTGATAAACAAACTCAATAAAGTTCATTTTTAAGGCTACATGTTCTCATATTGCTACCTCTCGACCTCCGGTCAGACCCGTAATAAAACACGACTCTTACTGGTTGTAAAATTTCCCCAACTGCTCAATTCTGGATAATAATCGATAAACCTGACAATTTATCGAAAGAAATAAACAGATAAAAATTCAAAGCAGTCAATTGTGACGAATCCAACCGTCGACCCACACCCAATCGAGAATATTTCAAAAAAAGTGAAAAAAATTTTGAGGATCCGATAAATTAATTCCCCTCACGATTAAAATTAAAGCCTCGACACTTGTAATATTGATTTTTTATTAATTTCTCGGTGAGAGACGCTACCCTTCCATGATTTAATCCTGAATAATCATTATCTTCCAAAATATACTGTATACAATATTCAACTTTCACTTATACATATATACAGTTGTGTATTTTCGACGAGCACGCACTAATTTGTTGGAAATTGAAGCATTTATTCGTTAATCATCCTTTTTTGACATTAAATTGAGCAGTGCGCCATCCGTCCATCTCGCATGTCCCCCAAGAAGTACAACTAGTTTACATCACTTATTCCTTTACTCTTCCCAATCTTCCTTTACCTCGAAGTCCTGCCCCTGGTGTTCAATACACTATTTCCATCATCACTGTACGTTATATTTTTTTATCATAAAAAACACGGAGCTGATAAATCATTTGACAGTTTAAATTGTGAAAATTATCATTTAATTCCTCTCTCTATAAGCGCCACAATCCTTTTTTTTTCCTTCGTTTTTTTCGCTTTTCTTCTTCATTTGTAAATATGTACACAGTTCTGGGATTAATCACGTAAATGATTACGATTATAATGAGAATAATTAGAGTTCGTCAAGGGGTGAAAAGAAGAATAATATACGCGGATATCGGTAGATTTAGGGGGGCTAATCCGCGTATACAATGAACTGCTGGTTGTCGACGTCTGCCACTTCCACCTGGACAAACTGAGGCTGTTGGAGCTGGATTTGTGCTACTTGTCTGCCGATGGAATTTCTCGATCTGGAATTGTTCATTAATTCAATTTAATCAATAAATTCATTTTTTTCCAAATAATTTCCAAAAAAAAAACCTGTACCAGTTAGCCATTGAATGATATAACGAATAATAAAATGAGGATAAAACTTACTTTGCTTTTGCGTGTGTCAGTATGTGTGACTTGAGATTGGTGGACTGGGCGAATTTCTTGCTGCAGCCATCGAAGGGACACACGTAGGGTCTGTCCCCTGTGTGAATCCTGACGTGAGTCCTTAAGTTAAAGTCAAGGCTGAATCTCTTGCCGCATCCCTCGAAGGTACACTGGAATGGTTTTTCCCCCGTGTGAACGAGCTGATGCCTCTTGAGTTTCGAACTCTCGACAAATGCCTTCCCACACTCGGCGCACACGTGCACCCTTGGCCCGTGCGTATGCAAGTGTTTTCTCATTGCACTGTTATCACGAAACATCTTGGTGCAGCCTTTGTGGGGACAGGCGATAGTGCGTTCAACACCGTCCATCGCCGGTGGTTTGCGTACTTTCAATTTGTGTCCGGGTCTGGCAAATTCAGCCAACTGTTTGGGATCGGATAGATCAAGACCGGGCATACCATCGGACACTGAACTCCCGGAGTGATTGAATTTCGTTGATGATTTTCCTGTCATGTACTCGGTGTAATCTGGATCAGGCTCAGGATTTGAGCCCTCATCTGGAACATCCACCAGGTGAGACGCTAATAGGACACTCCCTTTAACAGCAACAAACAAGCAAACCCAAACAAAAGCTATGGCATTGCTCATTTATACGTCGTTACGTTTTTTTTATTTTATCTTTCATCTAGCTGATAATACAAAATAAAAAACCCGGGTGTCACTATTTTATCAATTCATTAAAATGTCATTATTTAGTTATACCTATTTATCAACAATAAGTTCAAGGGCTGAGTGGTCCAAGTGAGTCTGATTGCTGGGCTAGGAAATAAATGATACGGTATCAACATTTCTTTGGGAACACGTGTTTCTTTCTTCACCATAAAAACATTGACATAATCATGGTCTATTTTCCAAAAAATGAGAAATATTAAAAAATCATAAACTATTTTCTCGTCCATCTTCAGCAATAAATCTCAAACAACTTGAGTAAATCCACTATTCCTTCAACTCATTATCATATTATTATCTCAATCCATAACAACAATAATATGAACACTATCACGAGAAATTTTTAAACCGAAAAAAGGCGCGACGCAGTGCATTGTGGATCCGCGACATGGAGTCTCGAGCTCGTAATGATTTTGCTGGTGGAATTGCTCGAGATTCTAGTCCCACGAATAGGAAAAAATAAAAAATGAATAATTACGAAGAGCCAAAAATAAAGAAGGAGATTTTCCAATAAATATTTGATACATGACAGGAAAAAAATAGAGCGACAAAAAGGATTTAAATTGGCAGAAACCCCAGACACGAAATGTTCTTTGGCGATTAAATGGCGGCGACACAAAGGCCGCCATTATTAACGTTTGCAAGGCTGATGGGCTAAAAAGAAGCCATTTTCAAAATATGGCTGCCCCCTGCCATCATAATGGCGTTGCTACGATCAAAACAAACAACAGATACTGTCAATGAATTCAGCCGGTATTAAGAATAAAAAAACAAATCCCCGAGATGATGTTCTCCAACATATTTATCACATTTCTACGATCTTGAATACGTAGTTATTGATTGGATTAAACCGGAAGTGCGTAGTCACCATCGGTGTATCCAAGTGGCATCGTAACACGAACGTGTAAGTGAAATAACAGAGGGGAATAAAAAATATTGAATAAATGCGAAAATTCATGATAAAAAATTACCACCAATTGGATGAAATAATGAATAAAACAATGTTACTCACCGTCATCAGTTCCAGATGCCCACATTGTCACGGAAAATTCCCCTTCAAGTGTCTTGATCTGCACTTGCTTCTGCTCCCACTTTCTCGCTTTGGTTTCAGTCCCCATTTCCCCGAATATCGTATGATCAGGTCCCCTAAATCTCGAATTACCTCCTTTTCGGGCTTTTTTAGTTGCTTTTCGTGATGGTCCTGGACTTGATTCAACATAAATATCGTTATCTGGCACTGGTATTTGATCGTAAACGCTCAGGGGATCACCACCGACAATTTCCTCTTGCGTCTGTAGTATGATTTCCTCACGTCCTGGTTCAGGGAGTGGTTGTAATGATATCATTGGCTGGCCATCTTCACCCTCAATTGTTGTCTCAACAGTTTCGCACGGTATTTCAACGGGTATCGACTCTATTTCTACCTCCTGTATATCTGGTTGGATTTCAACTTCAGTTATTATGTCTGAGGACGCCATATTAATCTCGCCTGACGCCATGTTACTAATCAAAATGGCCTTTTGCTGCGGTCCGGGGCCGCAAGACGCACCACTGGACTCTCATTTCCACTGTTGCCAAGTCCTTTTCAACATTTTCAACAAAAACAATATTTAACCATTTATTATTATTTTTCCCATTCCAAATACTCCTACAACACATCATAAAAACTCTAGTCAATTCAACCTTCAGCGAGCTCTGGATAATTCCGCGTTGATTTTTATTTTGGCTTTCAAATTTTATCCGCTCATTCGCCATTTTTCACTCTTCGGGAATCATCGGCTACAGTCGCTTTATATTTCATTAACGTCGCTGCAATGGAAGTATACGATAGCCGAAGGCTGTCATTTCGCCAGTTTCAGTTTAAATTCCAGTGGCTGCTTGGTTTTTCGCGCATTCCCTGCAATTTTCAATACAGCGGTGAATTTTTTGTCTTCTTTATTTTCTTGATATGAAATGATATACGAAATTAATTGCTGAATGAAAACATTGAATTTTAGAAAAAATTACTTTCCTCCAAGTTGTATTTTTCAAATTCCTTTTTCCGTTTTCGATTTCTGTGAGCGGTATGATCGGCTGTGGGATTATCTGCAAGGCTGAGATATGGGAGTTGACGGTGATAATGAATTTATTGAGTCAAGATAAACATTTTCCTGGATTTTACAAAATTTTTGTTTTCTTTGAATGTTTGAAAATGGTAGATATGGCAACACTGGTTCTGTTCGTTCCCGCTACGTCTCACCCTTTGACGAACAGCGAAGAGAGTGACGATACTGACGATAGTGGCGCAGCAAAACAGAGAGTTTTAGACGCATATTCCATGCTCTCGTGGGTCTTTTTACGTGATTCGCCCGTTGGCAGTTGACAAAGAAAATAGAATATTACGGTTTGTTGTTGTAAACAATAAGATCACAGCCATTTGAGGGGCGTTGATATCTCGACGAGATCGGAGGCTCGCACAACGCGGAATTACTTCCGCAACATCTCCAATCTATCCAGGAGGCTTTTGATTTTTGGAGGTGAGTAATTTTTAGAGGTTGATACTCCACAAGTAGCTTTCTCGATCTCTCCAAGAATATTGATATTTTCGATTGGAGGACATCTGCCGAATTCAATTATTTTCATGATTTTTCATTATATTATCAGGGATTTTGAGCACGAGATTTTGTCAGTGGGAAAAATCATTGGACTCGAAATTATTCGTGAAATCGTAATAAGGTGGTCGTCAGTTGGATATAATTCGGGGGATTTGAGAGGAAGGCACGTTTATACGGTTTTTTTTTTGTTTTGGAATAAATGAAGAAGAAATATTAGGGGAATTTCACGGTTTCAGAGGTTCCAGAGGTGAAATCGAGATCCAGGACAGAACAAGTGGATAGGTTTCATCATGTTTGGCAATACCGGTAATACGTCATTCGGTGAGTATGACGTCATCGTAATCAGAGAAAATTCAGGGCAAATGTTGACTGCTTTTCAAGTGCATTATTGACAAAATAAAAACTTTTTTTTTATAACGAAAAAAGCTCTGGTTTTTTGCAATCGGATCAGATTGACGCATTCATTATTTGATTTTTTATATTTTCATGAATGTTTCATACTTTAATCATAATTTTGCAGCATTTTAGATAATTTTTTGTTTTAAACCAAAAAAATTCGTACTAGAACTTGAAAAGTTGAGTGGTAAAATGATTGAGAAATGGTCAAGGGAGGAATTACTAGAATAAACAAAATGTTTGACGGGTTCTAGAAATACGAAATTCTTTTGAAAGCAATAAATTAATTCTCCGCCGCAGGTTTCAACACAGCCTCTCAGAGTAGCCCGTTCGGTCAGACGGGCTTTGGCAAGCCGATCAACACGACAACGGGCTTCGGAACACCAGCAGCGCCAGTCTTTGGCGCAAATAACACGTCCTCACTGTTCAGTGCAAAGCCCGCAGGAACGACAACAGGTGGTCTCTTTGGGAGTCCAATAGCAACCACAGCATTTAACCAGCCAGCAACAACGCAGTCGTCCTTTGGTGGCTTTGGCACCAGCACAGCCAACACAAGTCTCTTCGGTACCCAACCGACTACGAACACAAGTATCTTTGGTACAGGAGGAACGACGTCAGCCTTCGGCCAGGCCCAGAAACCCGCAGGTTTTGGCTTTGGCTCGGGCACAGGAACGTCCCTCTTCGGCCAAACTCAACAGCCAGTCCAACAGACGACGCCTTTTGGCCAGATGAACAACACAGCTAACACCAGCCTCTTCGGCAATCCCGGGGGCTTCAGGGCTGCCACCACAAGCAGTGGCATAACAGGCACGGGAATGGTGAAGTTCAATCTAGTCACTGGAACCGACACAATGGTAAAAAACGGTGCAACCCAGAACATCTCGACCCGCCACCACTGCATTATGTGCATGAAGGAGTACGAGAACAAGTCCCTGGAGGAGCTTCGTCTGGAGGATTACACAGCTGGATTAAAGGGTCCAGCGCAACCTGGCCAGACAACTAGCCTCTTTGGTGCCCCCACGCAGACTTCTCCCTTTGGCAACACTGGAGCCATAACCAGCACTGGAACCACTGGCTTTGGCACTATGTCCAGTGGTTTTGGCACTCCCAATCAGTCCACAACATCTGGCGGTCTCTTTGGCAAGCCTGTTACTGGGTTCGGTCCTGCAACCACCACCAGCGCCTTCGCCTTCAACTCCACCCCCTCCACTGGCCTCTTCGGAACGAACACGGCGGCGAAGCCCTTCGGTGCACCAGCATCCACCACTCTTTTTTCCAACACCAGTACTAATCAGCCAGCCACAGGATTTGGAACTCTCAATGCCACACAGACCAACAATTTCGGTGGATTCATTACCAGTCCACAGAACCAGAGCATTGGATTGTTTAATCAGAACAAACCAGCATTTAATATCGCACCGGCCACTTCCAACACTGGCTTTGGATTTGGACAAACCGTACCAGCCAGCACCTCTAATACACTTTTCGGAACTAAACCCCTTGGTACCGCTGGGTTTGCTGCTAGTACCACTGGGTTTGGAGCCACTCCAGCACCTGCCTTTGGAACTAATCCAGGATTTGGAACAACTCCCAATACAAATACTTCACTTTTCAATACACCATTCAAACCAGCGACTCAGACCAGTGGATTCTCGTTCGGTGCAACTCCTGCCTCGACGTCAGCACTGGGTACCAATACAGCTTTGACTCTGGGTGGTACTAGCTCGCTGTTTGGACAGAATAAACCAGCTGGAGGCCTATTTGGCAACCCTGCAGGTACATCAACGTTCAATAATCTTGGAACATTTGGCACCACTGGAGGATTTGGTACGACTGCCACTAACACTGGACTTGGTATGAATCTTCTTGGTGGAGGAATGGCAAATCCTGTCCAGCAGAATCCCTCCTCTGTACCAGTTCATCAACAGATTCTAGCGTTGGTGTCAGCACCCTTTGGTGATTCTCCCCTTCTCAAGAATCTTCTTCCAGCTTCGGGGAAGACAGCTGAGGTCCTCAAACCAGCAAATCCTGCAGCATCCAAAAGCCTGAACGGTTCTCAATTCAAAGTATCGACAACTAATTCCCCCAAAGTGAAAGCCAGAGTGGTAACCCCAGCTCAATTGTCGAAAAAGTCGTTGTTTGAGGGGCTGGAAGAGGAGGATCCAACGCTTCTGGAGGCATTTCAACCGAGATCCAACGCTAAGAGACTTGTTCTTCGACCCAAACCCCTTGTGAACACCAGTTCGTCAACTCCACAGGACAATCTCAACACGAGTCAACGGAATAATGACAGCAGTCCGCTGGAGGCCCAGGATACCTCGTCCTGCAGTGTTGAGGTAGAACCTGTTGACAAAGAGAATTGTCAGAGACGTTTCACCGATAGAAGATCGTCGTCGCCCTCTTGGTTGAGGAAGAAAAAACTCAGCAGGAACCTGAAGATCCGAGAAGAAGAATTTGATGGGCAAAGATCACCTTTCAACTCCTCAGATAATCACGAAGAACCCCTGGAGAATACTGTCTCAGAGTTTCGTACTAATGATAATATCCAGGCTACGTCAAAGGCTGCAGTTTCATCACCAAGCACCAGTCTGAACTGCTCCCTAGGGGCTGAAAAGAGTGTTAGTGAATCGGCTTTGTTCTTCAGCGACTCAAACCGTGACCTGGACGAGAGTGCTCTGTCCCTGTATCAGTCTGAATGTTGTGAGTCAAATTCAGCCAAAGTGAGTCTTCGCCGAGCTGGTTATTATACTATTCCTCCAGTGGATCAACTCGACGAGTTCGTTCGTGATGAGAGCTGCATCGTCCCCAATTTCACTATTGGTCGTAAGGGCTATGGAAACGTGTACTTCCCTGACTCCTTCGACATCTATGGCCTGAATTTCGATGAGATCGTTTACTTTCGCCATAAGGAGGTTGTCATTTACCCAGATGACGACAAGAAACCACCAGTGGGACTGGGGCTTAATAGAAGGGCTCAGGTAACTCTCGATCGTGTCTGGCCACAGGATAAAAATCTCCACGAACCCATTACAGATCCTCATAGACTCATCGCTATGAATTACGAGGCTAAGCTTCGAAGGGTATCGGAAAAACATGACATGAGGTTCTTGGAGTATCGACCTGAGACTGGCTCTTGGGTATTCAAAGTCGATCATTTCTCCAAGTATGGGCTGAGTGATTCTGACGATGAGGACGAGCTCCCTGCCAACGCTAATCTGAAGAAGTTGAAGCCCGGAGAGACACCCCAAAATTTTCTGGTGGCTCACAGGACTGGGGTCAAGAAGAAATCACCAGGTCCCCTGAAACAGGTGCAACTGGTAAACGGTCAGGGAAAGAATCAGGGGTATGGGGATGTTATGGAGGTTGGGGAACATGAGGAGGACCCAGAGGACAGTCGGAAGTCACCAGTGCAGCAGTCTGAGGGGATCACCAGGGAGAAACAGTCCGCACTGAGTCCAACCTCGATTTATGCCAGGCTTGCGGGCACAGACAGCCACAAGCTGCAACTGATGAAGGCCAGTTTTTTCGATACTGGTAATGGAGATGATCCCTATAATTACACAGCTGATGGCATGCTTAAGCCATTTGATGATGAGAAGAAAGAACAGAAGGACGTGTTTCCTCCTAAGATAACGAATTTTATCCATCAGGACTCATCACTCTACGGGAAGTCAATTCAGAACGAGTCTTTCTACATTGAGAAGCTGAATGATACAATGGGATTAATCAGGAGTAAAACGGAAGCAGTCGAGGCAAAAGCTGAGAAGACAGCCGCTACGTTGATCAAGTATTTTCCTCCACCAGTTGTCAACCCCGTGACAGTTGTTCTGAAGTTTCGGTGTGAAGTAATACCCCTAAAGGAAACGATTAGTAGTAAACTGCGGTTTCAATGTATCAGTGACATTGGGATCCAAATGGGTAGAAAATTCAAGCCTTGCTGGGGCCCAGGACTGACCCTCATCTCACTGAGCAGTCAGGAGCAGGCGTCGGTGGTGCCACTGCAAAATAAATTCAGCCAGATTGAGAGCTACATGTCTGGACGATTGCTTGATGACAACACATCGACAAGTATTGTCCAACGTCTCCAGATACTCGGGGGTAGCAGGGCAGACGCTGATTACATTAAGATATTCAAGGAGAGTATCGAGGGACACCTCTTGATCCAACTGAACAACTGTGTAATTGGACAGGAGAGTAATTGTCCCTGGATTCGTCCAGGCACGGGAGAATCAGGCCTCAATGCCCTCCACCACCACTGCAATCTGGCCCAGGAGCTGGTGGACCAGTCCAACGATCACCTGGCAGTTTATGCTAATGATGTCTGGCAACTGTGCGTCGCACTCTGGGGTAAATTAGCCCACGTAGACCTCGATTCCAACGTTGAGAGCCACGAGAATGTCATGATTAGACGAGAGGCCTTTGGTGAATGGCTGAAGGAAGTCGTCGAGACAATTGTCCAGAATGAAACGTCAGACACAAAAGATGAAAGTGAAAAGATTCTTTCACTTCTCACTGCAAATAAGCTCGAAGAAGCTTGTGAATTGGCACGAAAAAGTGGGGATTACAGCCTAGCACTTCTGATATCTCAATTAGGAGGGGCGGCATCGGTGCAGGAACTCATTAAGCAGACGATTGCCTTGTGGCAAGCCACTGACACGCTCTCCAATATTTCCATGGAGCGCCTCAAGATCTATATGCTGGCAGCTGGAACTCATCTGATCATGTCCAACGACGAGACAATCAACGTCTGTGAAAAGTTGGACTGGAAGAGAGCCCTTGCAATTCACCTCTGGTACCTTTCCCCTCCTACAGCCTCCATCACAGACGTTCTCGAGTTATTTGAGAGTTCCTTCAATCCCAGTGAATCCAACGAACAGATCTACGCGGCACCGCCACTCCCAGAGTACAAAGAGGAGGAGTTTGAGGCTGAGGTGATTAGTGGAAAGAAGACGTACGACCTCTGTTATCATCTTATCAAACTATACTCCACTGGCAATCACTCTCTCGAGGAGTTATTGAATCCCCTGACGCACACGTCAGATCCTCTGGATTACAGACTCAGTTGGCTCCTGCAGCAGGTGATTCTGGGGCTCGGGTATTCCCACTTGTCGGAGCACGTTGCCACCATGACTCACACGAATTTAGCAGCTCAGCTCGAGGCCCATGACCTCTGGCACTGGGCCATTTTCGTTGATCTTCACCTTGACAACGCGGGAATTAGAAAAAAAGCTGTTCTGGATTTGCTTTCTCGTCATGTGCAGATTGACGAGGACCCAGAGTACATCGAACGCGAGAATTTCTTGAAGGAGCAGTTAGAGATTCCCTCCATATGGATTAACGAGGCCAAAGCTGTGAAGGCCCTTGCTGTCAAGAGGTTTGGAGAGGCTGCCTGGTATCTCCTGCAGGCTCAGCAGTGGAATCAAGCTCATCGCATCATCATTCAGCATCTGGCTGCTGATGCTGTCATTAACGAGAATTACGCGTATCTCAGGTCGCTTCTGATGCCCATCGTTCCACCAGAGTGCCATAATCTTGTTAATGGGTGGAGCCATCAGGGACAACTACTCTGGGACTACATGGAAATTGCTGGTGAAATCGAACAAGTGGTGAAGGACAAGGACCTGGGAAACATTGGGTATCGTCTCGAACTACTGCAGCCACAGCTCAGCTCTCTGTGCACCAAGATCAATCAATTTCCCTGTAACACTGCTAAACTGACTCTCTGTCAAGCTGAGATTGCAAAACGCACTTTACATCTTGCACGGAGTTTATTACTTATGCAGCCTAGTGAGGATCGATCCACCACGAGAGTTTTGGTACACTTGGTCTCGCAGCTGCCACTTCCAGAAGATTACGCACAGCAGGAGCTCAGACCTTTGATAAATATGTGTGTTAATGAAATTGTGGGACATTGAGAAAATAATTAATAGCTTGGAGATTTGGAATTGGTGTTTTGGTGGAGGGTACAATAAATCCCCTTCGATCTTCGAAATCTCGAGGTCTTTAAAGTGAAATTAGATTTTTTTGAGGAATTTTTAGAGTTTCACGTTGGTGATTTGTTTCTTTATTTTGAAAATTGTATAGTTGGATGGCGCGATAATGATAATTGCTGAGAATTTAGTTTGTGATTTTCATGCTGTTTTCTCACTCTTATGTTTCACAGTTCACGACCTCAATTTTCTCACTTTTACATAGATTTGTTCAGAAATGAATAGGAATAAATCAATTAAATAGTTCATCCATAATTTTTCGATGTTAATAATGAACAGAGTGACAATTCATGTAAATATTGATAGCTGAAGAATGATTTTCATTTTTTCTACTTATGACACACTAAAACGGTCTGGCAAGAAGACATTTGGTAAATCTATAGAATAATTAATTACCTTGTACTAGAGTTAAACTTTCTATTCCTATTTTTTTCTTTGTGATTAAGCCTGAAAAAACTTAAAACCAGAATAATGGATGAAAAATAAAAGAATAGAGACGAAAATCGGAACAAACCCATTATTTATTTAGTCCATTCCTACATATATTTGTACGTATCATGAGAATACGAGTGCCCTGATCACGTTTATACACCACAAAATGAAACAAAAAAAAAAAAATCTTAAAAATCATCTTCTTTTTTACAAAATTACAATTCGTGAAAAAATTAGTGTAAAACATTAATCTTTGATGCCATGGGTGGCCTCTCCAGTGTTTGCATCAATGACGATCTTCTCCTGGAAATCCCTCCCCTTGGCCACTGGCGAAGTACTGACAATATCAGTGACAGGAAGAAACTTCCCCTCAAAAGATTCACAAAAGAGCATTTCATTCTCCTTACCCTTCTCATCGCCCTCTTCTTGCTTCTCCATTCTAAGAGTCAACATTTCAACGATCAAATATCCCTCAGGCTTGTACATCCTGTTGAAGTGGAGCCTAATGTGTTCATTAAGATTCTCATCTTTTCTGGGTACATAATTGCAATGAGGACACGGTGGAGTGAGTCTCTCAATCCCATGTCGTCTTTTATGAGCATCCATGATAGCTTGATCAGTAGCAGAGAAAGGGCATTCGAGACACCTCAGTACATTTTCATTGGCTTCATTCAAAAGGGAAGATGCCTTCCTCTGAATCAGCAGCATCGTCTGCTTATCCTGATTGGACACCGGAGAAATGGCTTCCCCAATAATCCCCAAATCCCTATTTCCACCTGTAGACTTTCTCCTCGACTTCACCACGTACTCCTCCTCATCCCGAATAATCTCCTCCTCCACCTCCATCTGCCTCCTGGAAGCCTGTGCCTCAGCATTAGCATGATGCTTCCTCAAGTGTTGCACATAATTCGCATAGTACTTGACAGCATAATCGCACGTCTCACACCTGTACTTCTGCTTGGATCCATGAAGAGAGAGATGAATTCTGTATTGCTCTCGTTTCTCGAAGGCCGAGGGACACTTGTGACACTTGTACTTCTTCTCCTTGAACTTGCCATGCCTAATGTACCCTGGATACACAAAATTGGGATTTCCAGTTGAGACGATGTCTTCCTGAGTGTGTGAAGATGCCTGTAATCGACTCTGACCTTGCAATACCTCATGAGGTAGCTCCAAAGGCTCTGGCTGCCTTCTGTGGACCACCTGGTGCTTCATAAGGTTTTGAGCTGTTTTAGATGAGTAATCGCACTCCTCGCACTTGAACCTGTTGTTGGAGCCATGCAGGGTCATGTGGTACTCGAGGGCATCGAGCTTAAAATACCGGGCCGGGCATTTAGTGCAGGTGAACACCTGATTCTTTGAATCATGAGTGTACTCTTGGGTGTGTCCAGTGGGGTTTGACACCTCGACGACAATCCAAGCGAATTCCCTTCTATCGTCATTTGTCTGGCTGTTGACCTCGACACAGGCAGTGAGAGGTGGTGGAAATCGTTGGGAATTACCATAGATTGATGACAGACAACGAGTGCGTTCCTGGTACTCACTGGAATGTGCCTTCTGATGAGCTAGCAGATGTGCAGGCTGTCTAGCAGCATAAGTGCACCAGTCACAGGTATATGCCAATGAGGTTGAGTGATAACGAAGATGAATCTTCAGTTCCTTATCACATAAGAATCTGGCTGGACACTTGCTGCAGCTGTAGACGAGCCTGGAGTCTCTGAGATCAGGATCTGGACCGAGAGTTGGAGCTTTAGCCAGCCCCAGGATGCTCTTGAGGTCGTCCAGCTGCTGCGAATCACTCCTGTTGTCAGCCACCAGGCAGTGAACAGTTCCCAGAGAGCCTAGGTGCATCGCTGCATGGGACTCCATGACGTCCCTCTGAGTGCAAGTGAAACTGCAGTCTGGACAGGCAATGGGAACACCCAGAGCACTGGTATCCGCGTTCAGGTGCATTATCTCGTGGTCTCGGACCTCTGCTCGTCTCGAAGAGACGTGAGGACAGTGACGACATTTGAACATTTTGGCGAAGATGCCATCTGGTTTCGAAACCCAGACCATCGGTGTGTCTGGAAGAGCTCGAGTGTCCAGGAGAAGAGGCGGGGTTTCCTGGTCACCTGAGGCATGTCTCAGGGTTTGCTGTGATTGTGACTTGGAGTCTGACTGATGTACCACTGACAACTCCTCACCGTGAAGACGTGCGTGCTCCAGGAGTTCTGCCTTTGTGCTGACATAGTAGGGACACAGGTAACACTTGAAAATGGCCTCGAGGTTCGGACGATGATGCACCTTGTGAAGGGCCAAGGACTCCTGGTCGTTTGCAACGAAAGGGCAATCAGTGCATTTCAATTTGTTGGATTTCTCTGCAGCTCTCTCCAATTTTTCGTAGTGACTCTTGACGTGAAGTAAGAGCACCTCTTTGCTGGAGTCACGGTAGTTGCAGCGTTTGCATTTCCAGAGAGTACGTTTTGTCTCCTCAGAGGATTTTGGGGAGGACTGTTGATCAGCCCTTGGGGGAGAGGGAGCAGCCGGATTCACCTTCAGGAGGGACTGGCCGTGGAGTCGGGGAAGTTGAAACGGCTTGACGATTGTTCCCGATGATACGTCCACTGAGAGGGAACTCATTACCTTTGAACGACGTTTCAAGGCCCCAGAGAATGGGTCCGTGGTTATGAAGACCTTTCGGGCGGGCTCGCCTGAGCGAAGACATCCTTGTGTCTCTTCTGATGCTGGCGCGTCCGACCCTTGGTGCAGCTGAGTCAGATATTTATTATACTTGGAATAGTTACGACGACCCGTCTCATCAGTCATCAGCACCCGGGCATTCACGTGAGCTGCATCTCGGGCTGCTTTCAGTTTAATATGTTTCGTTATATCCCATCGCCAATTGGATCTGCATTGACACCAATTATTTGAATGATTATTACCTTTTTATTCAACGCGATAATTTGGTTAACCACTTGTTTGTACAAAGATTATTGCATGAATTGTGATGTAATATTATTTCTTTGCTGAAGACTGACCTGTACGCGCATAAAGAGCATTCGAAGGGTTTGCGATTCAGGTGGCCAACGATGTGGACGTGGAATCTACTCGCTGTCGATGCCCAGAATGGGCAGTGGGGACACTTGAACACTCGTCGAGCTGTTGTACTTTGAGGGACCCCCCCTTCCACCTGTTCATGGGATTATTCAATATTTAAATAAACAAATAGGAAGGAATTTCTTGGAGACACACGCTTCACACCACACACAGGCTCGATATCAGGGAAAATCAATAGACCAAGGCTTTTTACGGGGACAGTGGAGTAAAATGGACCTTTTGAATCTCCAATATCTCTTGCGTAAAGAATCCAAATCACTTCGGTGATTTTCTCTGTCTGTTGTATCGAAAATTTATAATAGTTAGCATCCAAATTTTTTAGTTTTCATTTCCTTTTTATCGCAAACCTTCGAAAATTGAAATAAAATTGATAAAATAATATGATAAATAAATTGAGGAGTGGTGAAGCGATGGAGTGAGATAAGTGAATAATTAAAAGAAATCTTGAATTCGATTTCCGTAAAAAAGTGTCAAAGCATAAATAAATAAAAATGAAATAATTATCATTAACTCTTTGAGCGAGAGTTACTGACGACAAAAAACGGTTCAGTTTACCCAAAGGAAAAAAGTAAGAAGAAAAATGAGAGAAACAACGTATTATTTAAAACTGAAAATAAGGAAATAATAAAAATAAAAGAGAATCCCGTACCGAGGATCCAGAGGAATTAAGTCCGCTGTAATTTGCATCCCAGTCCACTTGCAATGGTAAGTCAAAATCATTGGAGGAAGAAGTTGTTGCATAGCTATCACTGTTGACAGTGTTCTCCTGGCTATTATTTCTATCATTATTGTCGTTATTATTATTGTACGCTGGGCATATTTTAATGTGCATCTGGAGATCGCCCGAAGTTTTGCAACGTCTTCGACACTTTGGACATCGCGATACGCCAAGAGACACACTGAGCGCAGTGTGATGGGTTTTTCTATGACTTGACATTTCATCCTGACTACTTGCTTCAAACGTGCACCAACACTTTAGATCGTTGACATTACTTACAGCTGCTACTTGGTTATTCATGGTGGCTTGGGTGATTCCAGAACTTGTTAACAGACGTTCCTTGAGTTTGTCGAAGAATGAGGCATTTCTTTTTTCAAAGTTTTTTTGGGGACTGGCTTCTTTATCCCCATTCACCTATTCACATTAATTTTTCAGATATTATTTGAAAATTCTGGTTAAATTTTCGGCACGCCCTATCTAAACTCATTGACCTCAAATTCTTCCTGAATTTTTGTTTTTAAAAATTTTTAATTTTGCAATATTCAAATACAAATTCAAAATTTAGAAAAAAATTGATCGATTCCTTCAGAAATATCTATAAAATCATCCTTATACTATCAAACAATCATTCAAAAAATTTTTAATCAATAATTTGAATATTTTGATAAATAGAAAAAGTTTTTGGGAGTTATAAAAATGCGAATTAATCATTTAAAAGGAGGGAATATCCAAAAAAAATAATAGTACTTCACTACTATCAAAATAAACATAATTTATTGAGGTGAATTTATCATTAATTTATGGCAGAATGTGCTCAAAAGAATCCAAACTGTCCATTTTACCCTGACAATAGGAAAACAGTGGAAAAAATCCAACACTCACCTCAGGGTTACTATACAATTTGGCGATTTCAGTATCTCTGGCGATTTTCGCAAGCTCTGGCCTCACTCTGACTCGCGGCACATTGAGAACTGTAGTCGGAGGGCTAGTGGACGCACTGACACTTGGAGGGTTGCTTCCAGGACTCAATGGAATCAGCATCGGCAGGGGTTTCCTCTTACCAGGGGACTGACCAGCGTGTGATTCAGCCAAATGTCGTTGCATTTCAGAGTCCCAGGCAGTTATAAACTGACAGCCCTTCTCCTCGCATTTTAACGCAATACAATCCGCACCATCTGAGTTACTAGAATTCTTATGATCTTCTACGTCTACTGAGTTTTCAATCACTGGGGACTTTTCAATTGTCGGCACTTCGCGGTAATCACTGGCACCAACCTGCAACATTATTGAAGTGAATTCAACAGCTGTTCAGATATCAAAATATTTCTCACAATTTCAAGCGGTGGAATACCGGGAAAAATTGAAAATTTTAATATGTTGAATATTCATCAACGCAATTCCTAATTAATTAATTAATTATAAATTGTTACATGTGGAATGAGGTGAATTCTACGGTTGAATTTTGAATTGTTCACGATTTCAAAAATATTTTCTCCGGGTAAAAGATCATGAATTTTCCAATACTATATTGAAGTTCAAATAGTAAAATAATCAGAATTTTTAGATGAAATAATTCTGGAGAGAAAAAAGCTGGAGCAATTCCTTCTGAATTACCTGATTATAACGCTTAGGACAATTTCTTGGTTTTCGTTCAAAAGGACTGCTCATCTTACTCGCCATCTGCTCAATCGGCGGTTCATGATGATTGGCCTCATGTACCGTCAAACTCTGTCGGATCTCAGCAGTAAAATTGCAAGCCCGACACTGAAAGGCCCCACCACCCCCATGATTCCTCGTATGTCGATCAAGATTCCACTGCAAGAGACACACACAATGAAAAATCATTAATAAAACCATCGAAATGAAAAAACATGAAAAACTCCCCCATTGTGTACCTTATAAGGAGTTCGAAAATCACAATCATCGCATTTTATCATTGGCATGGAATGGTATTTCACGTGTTTGGTGTATCGTGCACGGACATGAGTCATATAAGAGCACTTTGTGCACCGAAAAAATCGCCTCTTGAGGTGATGAAGCCTCTGATGATTTTCCATATCAGTTGGTGTATAAGCGACAAAATTACACATTGTACACCTGTTTCTTCGCACTATTTCACCCGATTTTTCACCCTGAACGTCCTTGTGGGCCGTGAGAATGTGCCTCTGGAGCTTTTTGGAATTTTGATAGGTGTAATTGCAGTGGGGACAGCCATGGGTTTTGCTTTTTTGGTGGTGCTCCTCCTTCAGATGCTGAAGGTAGTCTGCAAGATTGGCGAACTCTACTGTGGAATTACAAGAGTTGCACTCGTATATTCTCTCCCCCTTGTCTTCAATATTATCATCAGTTTCCTCTTTGATGACGAGTCGAGGCTCGCAATCACTGTCATCTTTTCCCATCTCTGTGTCATCACCACCGGATGCTTCCTCTTCACTGGCACGACCTTTTTTTTGTAAAATCGAACGTCGAGGACGCAGCGACCGATACTGCTCAGACATATTTATTCCCTCCTTTTATCCGCTCCTTTCAACTGATTAATTCACAACTCGTTTTATTATTCCTTTGGTTTTCCCTCGGTTTTCATTCCGGGAGGTCCCATGGTGCCATCGATTAATTCCATTAACAATAATATCTCATGAATTGGAAAAAATATTCCATGTCGCTAGCTCCAATTGGATCATCAAAAATTAGTACTAAGGCTATCCAAAAAATTCAGTGCCCTTTCTTTAAATTGTTCAAATATTTTTCTACGGGTCTATCTGAAAATCAGAGCTTTCATTCCGGAAATTTTGTCATTATATTGTGATTTAAAGGGAAGACGTCTTCAATTCGACTCTTCATTTTCAGTTGTTGAGGCGATCTGGAAAAATAGGTCGACTCGTTTGGGAGGGAGAATCTTCAAATAATTTGTTAATTTAAGTCTTTGAAGATTACATTTTTGGAGTTGTACCAATTTCGATTATTTATTGGTAAAAAGCGAGTGTTGAGGAGGAATGATATTTACAATTTATTTATCAACTGGAATCCGTAAAACATAACTTAATAAATCAATCCATAAAAACCAAATCTTCTTAAAAATAATCAATGGACATTTACGCCAGGCAGTACATACAGTATTTTTTTTCAATAAAAATTATCCAAATTTTCCGCCCTCAAAATTCTCATTTGAATTTCAAACCCTTGAAACGTCCCAATAAAATGCTCCCCGAATTAAAAAACTAAAAAAAATAAAAATAAAGAGAAAACAGATTTAAAAAATATGAAAAAACACTCCTAAGACTTTGCATCCCAATCCTCGCAATTCATAAATAATAACTGCACATCAATACCACATGTTCTCCTTAAAAAGGAATTTTTTGTCATACCTACACGCAAAGTTCTATTTTACTCCTCAAATGACGGGAAGAAAGTGGCCTATTCTATCCCCCACATTTCTGTTGATTTTGTGGAGCCTCGGGATGACATAACCCACATTTCTCCCGTCATTTATGAAGAAAAATCGAACTTTCCTGTGTAATAATGACGGAAATAATTAACTATCGCCTTCCAAAATGTCACCAATGAAAAAACAAAAGTATGAAATACCTAGTGCCTAGAATACCCCCAAAAGAATGTCCTTGGAGCCGTCACCTCATCAACACTCGTCCCCCCCAAAAAAAATGCCAATTCCAATGGCGAACTTCCGGTGGTGCCCCAATGTCGCCACAATCAATGAACCCCTTAACCTCCCCCCACAACCAAACCAAAACGAATCCATAATAAACATCAACAAACCTTAAAGAAAGTTCCTCCACTCCCGGAGAAAATCTCGCACCGACCCTCACCCAGTAATGGCGCCTGGAAGCCTTCCCTTGTCTCCAAAAAACCTCAATATCTCGAATGGGCTCGATTGTCTGATAAATCGCCTGCACAAACCGCCTGCACAGCACAATATCCCGACAAGTAACAGAAGGGGGGAAAAAGTGAAAAAAACGAGTGTTTGAAATGTAAAAAAGGAGATAGCGTCGCAGCGAAACCGAGCGGAGTAACTCCGAACCACGAGACGATGAAGATGGCCTTTAAAAAAACCCGTGAATGCAGTTAAATGGTTGATTTCCTGTCTCAAGCACGCGATAAACCGTATGGAAAAGAAGGCCGAAGTAATACCCCCAGGGTGTCAAACGCTCCCCCCTCTTCACCTGCGATGTTACCCTGGCGATGGGGTTGAGGGTGAAATTGCTTACAAGAGACACGATAAATACTCAACAGCCCCTCCCTCTAACCGGATGACTGGCACTGGCCCCCACGATGTTTTAGCGGTTTTAGCTCGATGGCAACTAGCTGACGCCGCGCAGTCAGGCGCCATCTGCAATTCCAATTCTGTGAATCTGACCTCTACCTCTACATCTACCTCTACCTCTGCCACCGTCGCTCGTCGCTCGTCGCTCGTCGTTCCCCTCGTTCCGCCCTCACCTTCGGATTTCTAAGCACCCAAGTCACCGCCAACTTCCCCTACTTCGTCTACTTCCTTTATCTACATCCCCCTCTCTATCCCCCTAGTCTCCAGCACATATCGCTCCCCCACCGCACCCCATTTCCTAGATTTTCACCACCTCAAGGATATCTTACTCATTTTTCTCATTTTCCTCGTTTCTTTCATTTCTCTCCTTTTCCTCATCTTCATCGTCTCCATCATCTCCATCATCTCCGTCATCTCCATCATCTCCATCATTCTCATAATTTCCATTATTTCCATCTTCCTCTGGGTCTGTCCGGCCTGCCCCCAGACCGCGAATTTCCTCGTGCTCTTTCCCTCCGTGTCTCCCACGACGATTTCATCAAAATGTCGCTCTCTTGGGCGTTGTCGCATGGCCTGGTTGCTTCATTATCAGAGCGATAAGACAATTCTTAGGCCTTTTATAAGCATTTAGGACAGAGTCGATATCATCTCCGGGATCATTCACGCTTGCGTCTTACTGACGGCATTACTTCAATGACTGTAACATTAACAGGAAAATCAATCAACAAGAAAGACTCTGGAATGTTCGTTTGTTCTGCATTTTACCAAGGTCGAATTGTCAGCGTGATATTAAAAATTCAGTCGATAAAGGCCACGTAAGGAATCATTCAACACTCCTTTAAAATTTCAACTTTAAGTCGTGAATTATTAAGGGATGAGATGCAGACGGAAACGCAATCTTCTTTTCAATCTTCCCATCGTAGCACCTCTACACGTTTTCTTTATTAATCGGTTAATGGAGATAATTATTTTAATGAATTTTACGATATTTCTTCTGCAGAGGAAAAATGAGTAGCCGTGGAGAGTTATAGAGAATTCAACCAATCGCCGAGAACAATCCCCACCATCATCTCTCGAGGAATAGAAGTTTTGAAAGGCTTTGAGAGCCCGGTGCGAGATAAATAAGTCACGACTACATGGAGAAAGAGACTATGTGAGGCTACATGAGGTTTTCCACTGTTTTACCTTTGCATTGTTTTTTGGATGAAATTTAAATAATGAGTACGCACAGTGACCGGAAATGCTGAAGAACGAGTCATTGACAGATACATACGCGACATTTCATTACGTTCTTATCGTAACACGCATTAACAGAAAATCTCGTTGAATCGTGTCCGCCATCTTGAAATGATGAATTCTTGCATCAATTGAAGGAACACGTCATTATTGCGCTCATCGATGGAACTGAATGCTGACTTACTTCTTTCATTTCCATTCAGTTCAACCGGGAATAATAATTTCCACGATGAAACTTGAATTAACTCAACTTACGTGTTATCAATATAATTATTCAAAGTAACTTCTCACCCTTGTGGTAATTCGACGTTCGTTGAGATCTGCAAGAAAATTTTTGAAAATTCAATGATATTTGGAATTGTAAGTTTTTTGTTGTGGTTGAATTATCGTATTGATTTAATTGTTGAAAAATTGGAATATCAAATTAGAATTTGAAAAGTCAAATTTTAGATTTTTAAATATTTCGTGAGTATACGTTGATTTTTATTTTTCTCATGGAATTTAGGTGGGGCTATTTTTTAATTCGTAATCATTTTCTAGGGGAATGCCGAAGATATTGAATATAATAAACACACATTATTATTATTATTATTAATATTATTATTATTATTATTTTGAAAATATTTTGATTGAGAGCTGGAAGTACTTTTTTTTCTTTCGATGGAAAATCTTCATCGATTATCAGCTTTCCATGAATATTTCGTGATTGGAAAATTTAATAGTGGGAGCAAAAGATTAACACAGTATAGATTATTATTTCATGTAATAGTGTATTTCGATGGAATTCGATAGTTGAAAAAAAGGAAGAGTAATGGGTAAGGTGCAATAAACAATGAGTACCGACGGTTTACAATGTATATTTTAAAAAGTTTCATCTTGAAAATACATATAAATAAAAAATAAATGCATCCTAGTAAGTTTACAGAACATGCATTCGTTTTGTGAGATTATTCAGTTGCGTTTGTAATTCGTTTTGGCTCTCAGTGAGAATAAGACTAAAACTAAAAGTGAATATTAAATTTTTATTCCCCTCTTCGTCGTATAATTGAATAATAACATACGGAAAATTAGGCAGCATGATAGGACATGTTCCTAATACTAAGTTGGAATCGTTAAAACGGAATCACAATTGCTATGGCGGAAATTTAACATGAAACTTTACTAGTAACTTCATCCCATTTGCTGCCTCGAATGAACAACCTGACGAAAGCAAGACATTTCATTTGTTCAGATAAACTCACACTTTCACATTTAAAAAATTGAGCCGAGTTACACTCAACTCTTATTTCCCTTTGTGCTACAAAAATCAAGATCATGTTCCACAATGACATATTCATCTTCGCAATATTCATATAATTCTTATGTTACAATCATCGGAGCGACCACAGTTAGAATGCCAGCTGTTCGTCAAAAAATCAAACCCTAAATTATGATAAAGTAAATTCAGAAGCAGCTTCATTCTGACTAGAATAATCCATAATTCACTCATTTATCTGTGGCATCATTTCTAGTAATTACGTATTATAAAAAATTACAATTAATTGTCATGAGTACGTAACTTTGGTTTAGTAGCAATTCCGCGTAAGCATAAAAAGTTAGTAATCAAGAGGTGAAGAGTGACAAATTCATTAGATATCTTTAAAAATTGAAGAGAGATGGTGAAATTTTTGGGGAAATCTTTTTTTGTAAATTCTATTTCATTCCACACGAGAGATCTTGACGGAAATTTCTCCATTTCTTTTAGATTTCAAGATCTCTGAAAATTCCGCTAGGTAATTCCGTTAGGTAATTATTTTTACATGAAATTTATTAGTCAATACAAAAGTCAGTAGAAAATTCGGTAATGAATTAATTTTTGTAATGCGATCCAATTTAACTCAAGCTGCCATGAAAGTATCAATCGTTCATTTTCTCGCTGAAAAATTGATCTCAAATGAAATTGAAACCCAGAGTATTACGAATTCAGAGAACAGAGAAAATTCCTAAAATAGCCAAAAGTGTGTGGAGTAAGTAGATTTGTTACCCTTTACCTCTTGTCCACTTAATTAATTGTGGTTACTCCAATGACTTGTCCAAAATGATTCTCGACTAATTAATTATTTCGTTCTGCACGTTTAATTCGATATGAAGAGCGTCATGCTCTCGTAAATAAAAACAAATATAAAGCACATTTTGAAAATTCAGTAGCTGCTAGTACACTAATGAGAAAAGTTATCCGCAAAGGACTATTCAACTTATGACACTCTGCTTTCATCGACTCATCAACATTATTAAATAAATCCACTACTTACACTAAAAAAATGTATCCTGCTAATGATTTGATACGATAAATTCATATTTTTCGTAATTCTAATTATAAGGTAATGCTTTCTGCTTGTTTATTTGTTCAGTCGTCTGGCCTATAAAATTTTTAAAACTCTTTGTTTCGAGGAGAGGGCTGATAGATTCTCTTTTATATAGTCTGAATATAGAGTTGCTGGAGGTCTGGGAAGAGCACCAAATTTCATACCTCTCGTAACTTTAATCTCTGATTTTTATAATGAAATTGTTTAAACAAAAATGTGATGCTTCAAGGAACGAAAGCCTTTCGAGATGAATAAAAATCAAATTTAACCGTGATTATTTTGATTGGCGCGTCTCATTAATTGATCAATAATCCACAAAAAGCCCACAGTTTAGTAAAATCATTGAAATTTAGAATACAATATTTCTCTATGCTACATTATATACATTGAAATAGCATCTGTATGCCTCCAGTTCAATATGTTCACTCATTTAATTGTAATTCTTCAATTCATTGAATTTCGTGTGGTGAGACCCGCGCAGTATAGAATATGTTATCTTCTTTAGATATCAATAAGGCAAAAGAGTGGAAATCTTCCACTTCAATTTGCATCTCTAAGCATTTTTTAAATATAAAAAAATAGCATGTTTGCAAGTACAGGAATATCAATTCACTGCTAAGGTACCTGAAACTAGCTCAGCCCGTATTCCATTGATACAATATCCTATTTTTGTTTTCATGCCTGAGCTTATGGCTTAATCGAGACCCCATGGATCCGGATGCAAATTTATAAATTCACGTGGAGAATATTTAAAATAGTCCTGGGTCACTTATAAACTATAAAAACCTCGTTGTTTTGTTAATTGCCTTGAATAGATTCGTTCAATATTTACCAATGTTCGCGTTAAATCTAGAAACAACTGTTTTTGATTTTCCGTTACTTATAGTCGATTGGAAAAATGGGGCCGTTTATCGTGGGGAAATATTCTCAGGCGAACAATCAATATCGTCAACTCATCCATGAAAATATTTCATTAAAAAGTCTGGCGAATGCCCCAGAAAATTTTATTGGATTCTATTACACTTTTTGTTAATTTCCGGTTGGAATTTCGAAATATTAATTTTATGAATATCACTTATGAATAAAGTATGCATTTGTAAAAATTCGAATTTTTTGGTGGGGCTGCAGGGGAGAGAAAATAGTGGATGAAAAAACGTTGAGTTGAAAGAGAAAAGTCTAACTGCGGAAATTCAACAGAAAATACAATTGAAGTTCTTTACAAAATCCAAGTTCCATTTCACTTTTAATGGAGGTGTAATAAAATTCCCTAATAAGTTCGCCAGATTTTTTTTCAAATTTTTTCACAAGTGGTGAAATATAAAAATAATTGTAATTCAGAAATCTCAAACATTCCGAGGTATTTTTCATTCAGATTCTAGGTGCTAAATTCCAATGACGAGATTTGTCTGTGAAAATTGAGACAATTCGATGATTTTTCTTTTAGACTTTGATAATGTACATTGTCATGTGGCAGTAATGCTCCCACGAATACAGTCTTTGCAGATTGAGGGATGAGAATGTCGTCGCATCCTTGAATTCATGTCTATGTGGATATTGTCTCGAAATAATTGATTTTCTTTCATCGTCAGATATAATTCCTGTCTTCCTATGGCACACTCTATCTGAAGTGTAATGAATTGATTCTATTATGAAATAGAGCCAGACTTTTTTGAAGATGAGGAATAATTGTGCAAATACGTCAATTGTGCACGCAATTATTTAATTTACGGTGTGTAGAGTCAAAATAATTAGTAATTGGGAGAATGTGGGTCATGATTATACCTCGCCAGGGCAATCGAATGGGACAGCTTCTAACAATAGTATTTTAACGCCGTAAGTGGATTCACTGAAATCGTTAAACGATTGAATTGTTGATATTTTCCCTTTACGTCGTTTTCAATAATATTTCTTTAAAATATACTCTAAGATGATGGCTTCGGGGATTGTGTACCTTTACAACATGACACATCTTCTTTGACGACGCTTCTGAGGCTCTGGTCGGAGGACAGCTCGAACAGCTTCATCGAATACCTGCTTCAGACCACGCTGCGTTAGGGCTGAACATTCCATGTACTTCACCGCACGTACCTGAAGGCAATATCACAGATTATAAAGAACAATCTACTGAAAATATCATTTGAATAATAGTAAATTCATCATCTTGGCATTTAAAAATGTTGTTATTATATTCTGAGCTCTACAATTTTCCAAGTAAATTGAATGAAAAAATTTCGAAAAAAAGTAAAAGATCCTTCGCAAAATAATCTGAAGGATAAAAAATGTAATTAGCATCGTGCTTACTTTATTAGCTAATTTTTGTCCCTGTTCACGTTTTATCGCACTGAGACCCTGCTCGGCCAAGGCAGTAAGAGTCTCCCGATCATCGCGCAGATCGATTTTCGTCCCCACGAGGATCATGGGTGCATCAGGGCAGTGATGTTTTATCTCCGGATACCACTTGCTCGTGACATTCTCGAAAGACGAGGGGCTCGTCACCGAAAAGCAAATGAGGAAGACGTCTGTTTGTGGATACGATAACGGACGCAACCTGTCGTAGTCCTCTTGACCAGCAGTATCCCAGAGCCCCAGACTCACTGGTATTCCATCCACAACCATTGGCGCTGAGTAATTGTCGAACCTGCGATTATCATTCAATTTTTAACAATCTAGTGCACCAGAGGAAGTGATTAAACACATCGCTATGGATTACTTCCTGTGGAACATCCAAGAGATGTCACTGAACTATTATTAGCCACCCCTAGTTCCACTTCTCGTGAAGAATTGTGAGAGGGAGAAAGGAATACATTGATGCTTCTCTATTTATATATCGTTTTAACACGAATTTACTATCGAACTTCCTAATGGATGTTCGTTAATGTTCCAGGAGACTATACTCCTAAAAAAGATTGACTCAATCTCCCAGGTTTTGGCTTTGAAATCCAGAACAAGTCACTGTACAAATGACATTTCAGAAATATTTATCTTTGAAAATTCAAATTTTTCGGGAGAAAATCTATGGGTAATTATAAATATCAGAACAACTTGAAGAAAATGTCCAGGGTTATTCCTTAAATATTCCACTACAGCTAGTTGACTTTGCACCCTTTATTCTTCTCAATTTTATCTTAATAGGCTATTCGAAGATTTGGTCATCAGCATTTGATTTTTGGTTTTAAACAGCACTTGATGCCAGACGAATAATTCTCATTTTTGGGCGATTCCCCGAAATGCTTCAATGAAGATAAAATAATATTTTTAAATTCACAATAAAATTAAATTCATAATAAAACCATGAAATTCGGAAGATTCTCTTCCTTTCAACAAAATTACTAACGATTGTTACTCACACTGTAGGCACATATTCACCGGGAAAGCTGTCGGTCGTATACGATATCAACATACAAGTTTTCCCCACAGTTCCATCTCCAACCACAACACATTTTATCGGTCTCCCTGAGCTCATAGTGCTGATTCCAACGTTTTCTAGATAAATAATCAATACAATAAATAAAAGTCCGGCAACCCTCTGCCTCATCCAGAAAAAGAAAAGGCGGAAGTAAACATAGCACCCAAAAAACACAAAATTTCAGGCAAAAAAAATTGAATGTCAATCAAACCAATAAAAAACTACTGAATAATCTACCCCCAAATCTGAAAAAATCCGCCCCATCAAACCCCAACATTCAGAACAACTAAAGAAACATATATCCACCTTTTAACGGGCGACGTCTCTTTCTCGTCCAACAAAATCTGTTTACACCAGAATTTTAATCCCCTTATTACTTACATAAACCACTGCGTCAGTTTCACACGAGCAAAACCCAAAAACTACCCCAAAAATATCCAACACAATGTCAAATGATACCGTATTTCCCTTAATTTCTCCCTAAATCACCCGTAAATTGTAATCATCGCCATGATGGTGTCGCGATTTTTCCTACGAAATAAAAAAAACTGGAATATCATTTGAACGCCGGTCGATCACAAGATGGCGTCAGTCCCGCGTTCCGATCTGAGGGGCCCTAACCAAAGAGGATTGACTAAAATAGAGGCTCAGTTCTGGGGGTTTGAGTGACCCCAGCGGCATCGTAGTACTGCACCCCAAGAGAGGGAGGGCGCAACACGCAATGCTGGGGTGGTTTTTTTTATTAATCAAGTTTTTATTGCAATGCTGGGGTGTCCATCAAGTCGACGGGGTGAATTTTATTTTCTGCTGTATGAATGCTTTTTGTTTTTCATTTGTTTAAC